AGCAAAAAGATAATAAACACCAACGTTCACTGCCGATGTACTACCAACATTCACTGAAGGTAGAAATAGAAAATATATCATACCATCACCGTTCACTGACGATGAACTATCAACGTTCACTGAAGATAGCAAAAAGATAATAAACACCAACGTTCACTGCTGATGTACTACCAACATTCACTGAAGGTAGAAAGAGAAAATATATCATATCACTGCCGTTCACTGACGATGAACTATCAACGTTCACTGAAGATAGCAAAAAGATAATAAATACCTATGTTCACTGCCGATATACTACCAACATTCACTGTAGGTATAAATAGAAAATATATCATACCACTGTCGTTCACTGACGATGAACTATCAACGTTCATTGAAGATAGCAAAAAGATAATAAACACCGACGTTCATTGCCGATGTACTACCAATGTTCACTGAAGGTATAAAGAGAAAATATATCATCAAGTTTTCTCCAAATTTCGGTGTTTCACCTAGAACGGGTCTCAACTTCTTCTTTAACCAAGGAAATCTTCCTGGAAAAGATCAAACATAAGTTGTCTCAAATAAAGAGACTTGTTACTCATTGTCATGGGGAATTGCAAAGAGAAATGACTTTCTGGGGATAAAAATATGACTTCCCGGGGAAATGCCACGATATTCCTGCTGAGGAGATAAAGTCTTCCTGTGCAAGATAAATGCACAAACCAAAACTCAAAGTTTTTAGAAATCCAAAGTAAATAATATTGTCACGCAACCACAGATCCAAATCAGAAATAAACTGGAGCAAAACAGCCAACGAAGATACGTCCTTTGAGAAATAAACTCAAGAAGGAAAGTCGAATCCATCTAAGCAAGGAGCACTGCAGGAAGGCCAGGGAAAAATGTCAATGAACAATGATTTGTCAATTTTAGTCATGCATGAGTTATGTATGTGTGTATGTATGTATGAGTGCTATCGTTCTTATGCTGGTAAAAGGATACATAATCAGTACAAACAAACAAAACTGCCTCAGGTACTAACAACATTGGGCTAAATTTCAACCAGAAATATCATTCCAAGAAAGTTAAAACCAACTGCGGAAACCAAACCTATTGCCTGCCTTAACTTCACTGAGGAGAAACATAATCCAGATGTAGCCAAATCAAACAGATACCGGGATAGAATATCCTTCTTCTACTTTCATCGGAGAAGCAGTTTTCCAAAAGAAACATGCCTACTGGAGATTGCAAGACCAGCCTCAAATAAAGCAGACTGACGCCGACACAACCAAACCTCACTGGGCGATTCAAGCCTACCTCCCCGGAGAAAAAACTGCAGATTGAAAATTATCATGAACACTTATTCCAACAAAGGATGCCCTTGGGTAGCCTTCCTGGGAAATCAAGAAGTCAACACTAGTGCCAATACTGCAAAAAGAGCGACATCTCAGCACGCCAAGGGAATAAAACCTTTCATCATATGAGGGAAGAATTCGTTGGGGAATCTGGGACGGAGGCTTCTGACCATGGAAACCCAAAATCAAAAGTGAACCAAGACTTGACTGGGGATAATGGGACCACAAACCCAATACTGTACCTTGCACCCATTAGCATCGTCTTTAACTATCTGAGAAACATACAAAGATCATGCGCATACCAACAAAATGACCTGAAAGAACCTTCATGAGGGAAATAAAACTTCTTAAAACAACCCGTGTTTGCTCATTCCAGGGATCACCATTTTTGTTGTCGTTGTTTCATCACAAATCCCAAAGCAAATTGAATATTAAAGATCTATTTTTTTGAAAAGTCAATTTTGCTTTTTTTAATATTTTTGCTTTAACAGTTATTATCAGTAATAAATGGAGTCTTTGCAAGCTAAATAAAAATAAGAACACAAAGAATTGGGCAAAATCTCGAATTTCATTAATAGAATGGTAGTCTGCGAATGGAGAGACTCCATGGATGATTACAAAGTTTGGGAAATGGTAATACATAACGGAAAAGATACATTGAGATACAATGACAACTATTCCCCCTAACAACTTTTGAAATCCTGAGCAGCATCTTTTGTTGAAGTATGGTGAGGATCCGAGAAGATTGTTGCTTCAACGATCAAGTCTTGTCTGACACAGTTACTTGCCAAGAAAATCCATAACTTTTGCTTAAGCTGCCCTTGTGGGTTTTCAACTTAATGGGAAATTTATTCTGTTTATGTCTCTAATTTTTGCCTAGACTGCCCTTTCGGGTTTTCGGCCTACCGAGACGCTCCTTTTTGCCTAAGCCGCCCTTTCAGGTTTTCAAATTAGTGAGCTATTCTTTTATTTCTTTAGGCGAAGTATTTATTGACTGCTTCAACATTCATGGGACGTGGGAACTCCTCGCCATCCATAGTTTCAAGAATTAATGCACCACCAGAGAAGGCTTTCTTGACAACATACGGGCCTTCAAAATTGGGAGTCCACTTGCCCCTAGAATCAGTGTTGAAAGACATGATCTTCCTGAGCACGAGGTCTCCTTCTCTGAATTCACGAGGTTTGACCTTTTTATCAAATGCCTTCTTCATTCTTTTCTGATATAACTTCCCATGACATAAAGCTGTCATTCTCTTCTCTTCAATCAAATTCAATTGGTCAAACCTGCTCTGGACCCATTCAGCCTCTGTCAATTTGGTTTCCATTATCACACGTAACGAGGGAATCTCTACTTCGACAGGGAATACCGCTTCCATTCCTTACACCAGGGAGAACGGGGTTGCTCCTATTGAAGTGCGAACAGATGTTCGATATCCATGCAGAGCAAAAGGGAGCATTTCATGCTAATCCTTATAAGTGACAACCATTTTCTGGATAATTCTCTTGATATTCTTATTAGCAGCTTCAACATCCCCATTCATCTTTGGCCTATATTATCTTGAATTCTTCGCACAGTTCTGTCATTATCTTGTTGTTCAAATTCGAGCCATTGTCAGTGATGATTCTGCTCGGCACACCATACTGGCATATAAGATTATTCTTGATGAAGCGCATAACCACCTGCTTGGTGACATTGGCATATGAAGCAGCTTCTACCCATTTGGTAAAGTAGTCAATTGCTACCAAGATGAAACGGTGCCCATTTGAAGCTTTGGGTTCTATCATCCCGATCATGTCAATACCCCACATAGAGAAAGGCCATGGGGAGGAAATCACATTGAGAATTGTCGGAGGCACATGGACCTTATCTGTATAAATCTGGCATTTAAGTCACTTCTTTGCAAATTTGTAACAATCAGATTCCATTGTCAACCAATAATAACCTACCCTTAGCATCTTTTTTACCATCGAATATCCATTAGCATGAGTGCCAAATGAACCTTCATGAATCTCATGCATCAACAGGTCCTCTTCGTGTCTATCCACGCATCTGAGTAAGACCATGTCATAATTTCTCTTGTATAACACATTTTCACTGAGGAAGAAACTGCCTGCCAATCTTCTCAGTGTCTTTCTATCTTTCTTCGACGCTGTTGTACCCCAATTTTTGACCTAAGATCCCATTTTTATTTTTACATTTTTTGAGATAAGTCAAGGTCACAAAATACGGTCGGTTTTAACCTCTCACCTTCGAGCTTTGACTATGTGAAGATTGTCAAGTGTTTTGAACATTTTTAGCCTATGTATCACTAATTTCTAATCGCATACAAAGGTGTATGTTCATGTTTTCTTTTGTTTCATGTGCAGAGACAGGTCTGAATCAAGAGCATCAGGTGTCGCGCCTCAATTAAGGTTTTGAGTCTCCCAATCCAGAAGTACGGTTGATTGTGGATTCTCGAAGACTGATTCATCAAGGCACACTGTTGCACCCTTAATTTCGCCCCTAATTTTTTCAGTCGCACATTCATACCATATTTTGTCATTTGGTCACAATCATTAGTAAATATCTTCATTCATCATATTTTGCATCATTAGTCGTATTTAAGTTGACCAGAAAAGTCAGTTTAAATCAAAGTTTGCATCGTCTTTTAGTTAAAAAATACCTGACATTTCACTTCATGCATTTTTATCTCTTTACTCGTTTCTTGCATTGCTCCAAGTTGTTTATATGTCGATAATAAAAATATTTTGGTTTTATAGACAAACTGTTAAAAGCGATTCAACAATGTACGAAAAATTAGCGAGAAAAAATATTTCAAGTTTTCATCTTTTACCGATCATTTTATGAATCTGCATCTCGCATAGATTATGACGGTATGCTCGCTTTATTTTTTCGATACAGTTTGAAGTCTCGTTTTTAACCGTAAAACGCCTGTTTAGCCTGGTATTTTCATTATCATTTTATTCCTATTTTTACTCTTTTTGAATATTTTTTCTTTAATCTTTGTGACATGTAGATTATTTTAATGTGTTCATTTTATTTTTTCGGATAAATTTTCGTCCGTTTTTTATCATTTTCGGTCATTTTGAGTCTTTATTTTTTATTCATAAAATATTTAAAAAAAATCATTTTAAATTGAGTTATTTTTTATTTCAGGTTTTTATTTTATTTTTGTTATTCAGGGGCTTTTTGGTCATAAAAATAGTTGATTATACTTTGCTTTTTTCCTATTGGTTGTTGTCAATAGTTGCAGATAGATACAGAAATTTGCCAAACGAAATTGCAAATCAGATCATTTTTTCTCTCTCTTCGTTTTCCTATTTAAAGGGCCCATATTCTCTTTGTAAAGGGGAACCAACAAAAACAAAAAACAAATAACAATACAAAAAGGCATAGCAGTAATACTCCCTTGTTCATCTCACCACCATCCTCATCAGCGCTATCACCCTGTTCCTCTCATCTATCTCAGTTCAACCTCCCTCACCACAAACCACCAATTTCCATCACCCTGCTATTTCCTCTCTCTTTCTCTCTCTATTTATCGGTCACAAAACTCAAACCCTACCGTTAGGTTCATTTCATTCATCAATCAACAATCAATAGAGCAGTGTAGTCTCCACTGCAGTGCTCCCTCTTTCTCCTCTCCGTTCTCTACTTCCCACACGATGTCGTATCGTCCAACTGCAAACTCCAGGACCGAGGTCCGTCGCAATCGATACAAAGTCGCCGTCGATGCCGAAGAAGGCCGCCGATGCCGTGAGGACACCATGGTTGAGATCCGTAAGAATCATAGAGAAGAGAGTTTGCTCAAAAAGAGACGTGAGGGTCTTCAACCTCAGCAGATTCCTTCCTCCATTCACTCTGTTGTAGAGAAGAAGTTGGAAAATTTACCATCCATGGTTGCTGGTGTTTGGAGTGATGATAATAATTTGCAGCTGGAGTCAACAACTCAGTTTCGAAAGCTGCTTTCTATTGAGCGTACTCCACCGATTGAGGAGGTTATACAGACTGGTGTTGTTTCTCGTTTTGTTGAGTTTCTGATGAGGGAAGATTTTCCACAGTTGCAGTTTGAGGCAGCCTGGGCTTTGACCAATATAGCTTCTGGAACGTCTGAAAACACCAAAGTGGTAATCGACCACGGCGTTGTTCCAATTTTTGTGAAGCTTCTTGCTTCTTCTAGTGATGATGTCCGTGAACAGGCAGTGTGGGCTTTAGGAAATGTTACTGGGGATTCTCCTAGATGTCGTGATCTTGTTCTTGGCCAGGGTGCTTTGGTTCCTCTTTTGGCTCAATTGAATGAACATGCCAAGCTTTCTATGCTGAGAAATGCTACTTGGACACTTTCAAACTTCTGCAGAAACCATAACATTCCATTCTATGGCGACTATTATTTAATATTCTATTTTACTATTCTATTTTACTTTTAGTTTTTTTATTTAGAAGATTTTATTAAGTGTTATTTCAAGTAAATTGGGCTTGACATTTACTTTGGTCTCCAAGCCCAATTGTTATTTCTTATATACCCCATTTAAATTTTGCATTCATGTTTTGTTCTTTTTGTTTTTATTTTAATTTAGTACTTGATAAATATTAAAAATCTAAGTAGAATTTATTTGTAAATAAATTCAATTTGTGATTTAATTTTCTTATTGTTTTATTTCATAGAAACTTTTGAGTTTAGATTTAGTTGGAATTTTATCTTGTAAATAAATTTAAATTGTGTTGTCTATTTTATATCATTTCATTGTGATTTCAAATTTTGAGCTCGATTTAATTTTCGAATATATAATGAATGTATAAACTTCACTGACCAGTTTTTTATGGACTTCGATTCGACGCATTCCGGTCCCATAGCTTGATTCTTTATTTCACATGAGATGTTCATATTATTTCTCTGTTATCCTGTTTATCTGTTTGTTGGAGTTTTTCATGTGATGTAGGGAGTCTTATACCGTGAGCGTCATCCACGATTTCTTTTTTCCGTGATTTATTTTCACGTGTTACACTTCTCGCTTGTGGTTCATTGCTTTTTATTCGCTGCTGGGAGTATTATCTTACATCTGGTTTTTTGACGCTGTCGGCTTGTGATTTATTTTCACCTAAGGTTTGATATACTCTTAGCTTATTTATCCGTCTGTGGTTTTAACTCCAAGGGAAAGATTTAAATTTGTTGACTTCACGTCATCAAATGAATCTCATCCGATTGTGCGAATACCCTTTTTTTCATTTTTTTGTTTGTTTACTATTTTGCTAAACTCAAGATAATTTTCCCAAAAGACTCCATTTTCAAACTCACACCTTTTAAGTCAAAATTTTGACACTAGGTCGTCGTATCTTCAAAATCTCTCCAACACCGATTTTTAGCCAAATGAACCATTTTAATCAAACAAACAATTTTAACCAAAAAACAGATATTTCAAAAGGTTCCTGCGGAGTACCGCAGATGCATTGGGTGCTAATACCTTCCCATTGTATAACCAACCCCCGAACTCTAGATATCTTTCAAAAAACGCATTGTATTTTTATTACTTTTAAGTATTATTTTACATTGCATATTTTAGGGTTTTATTTCGCTCTTTTCCCTTTTCCCTTGGAAATAATAAAGTGTGGTGGCGACTCTTGCTTTGGTGAGTCAAGTTAATTAATAGCTTCATCTCCGATTTTCACCGCTACAGACGCACCAATCGGGTATTGCTGAGTCTGAAGAAAATACTTGATATCATAATACCAAGGTTTTTCATCTGCTACCTCCTCTGTCGTAAACACATGAGCGGGCCTATCTAGTCGTCGAACTGTAATTCGGGGTATATCATTCCAAGTATTCACTTGGTACATGGAAGCCAGAGTTGCCAGAGCATCCGCCATTTGATTTTCATCTCTAGGAATGTGATGGAATTAAACTTTATTGAAGAAGGGTAGTAATCTTCTAGAATAATCTTTGTAAGGGATCAAGCCAGGGTGACGAGTGTCTGATTCTCCTTTAATCTGATTTATCACCAAAGCAGAATCACCATACACATCTAAAATTTTGATTCTGAGATCAATAGCTTCCTCAAGACCCATGATGCAAGCCTCATATTCCGCCATATTATTAGTGCAATCAAATGTTAACCTCGCAGTAAAAGGAATGTGAGATACATGAGGAGTGACAATCATAACACCAATTCCTTTACCATAAGCATTCACCGCTCCATCAAATACCATACTCCAACAAGATTCAGGATCAGGGCCCTCCTCAGGCTATGGTTCTTCATAATCTTTCAGTTTTAGGAACATCACATCCTCATCGGGGAATTCATATTTTGCACACTGATGATCTTCCACCGGCTGGTGAGCAAGGTAATCTGCCAACAAACTACTTTTAATAGCCTTTTAAGTGCGGTACTCGATATCATATTCAGATAACAACATCTGCCAGCGGGAAATTCTCCCAGTAAGAGCAGGCTTTTCAAAAATATACTTGATTGGATCCATTTTAGAGATCAACCAGGTGGTATGATTCAACATATACTGCCGCAAATGCTTTGTCGACCAGGCCAAAGCACAACATGTCTTTTCCAACATGGAATACCGCGACTCACAATCAGTGAACTTTTTGCTGAGATAATAAATGGCGAACTCTTTCTTCCTTGTTTCATCCTGTTGTCCCAGAATACAACCCACGGATTTATCTAACACTGTTAGATACATAATCAACGGTCTTCCTTCTACGGGAGGGAGAAAAATAGGAGGTTCAAGCAGATATTCTTTAATACTCTCAAATTCCCTTTGGCAGTCATCTGTTCGAACACAACCTTGATCTTTCTTTAACAACTTAAAGATCAGTTCACATGTTGCAGTCATATGGGAAATAAATCTGGAAATATAATTCAAACGCCCGAGGAAACCTCTGACTTGCTTTTCAGTTCTTGGTGCTGGCATTTCTTGAATTTCCTTGACTTTATCAGGGTCAACTTCAATTCCTTTCTGGCTAACAATGAAACCCAACAATTTCCCCGATATAACACCGAAGGTGCATTTATTTGGATTCAAGCGGAGACGATACTTCCTCAAACGCTGAAATAACTTCAACAAATCTTCTATATGCCCTTCTTCAATTTAGGATTTGGCAATTAAATCATCAATATATACTTCGATTTCTTTTTGCATCAGATCATTGAATAGGGTTGTCATAGCCCTCTGGTACGTTGCACCAGCGTTCTTCAACCTGAAGGGCATCACTCTGTAACAGAATGTTCCCCAGGGTGTGATAAGCGTTGTTTTTTCCATGTTCTCTGGAGCCATTCTTATTTGATTATACCCGGAAAATCCGTCCATGAACGAGAATACTTTGAATTTTGTTGTGCTGTCCACTAACATGTCGATGTGAGGCAATGGTAAATTATCTTTTGGACTAGCTTTATTTAGATCTCTGTAATCTACGCAAATGCGGACTTTTCCGTCTTTTTTAGGTACTGGGACAATATTGGAAATCCATTGAGGATACACTGACGTCACAAGAAAACCAGCATTAATCTGCTTTAGGACCTCCTCTTTGATCTTTACTGCCATATCCGGGTGGGTTCTTCTCAACTTTGTTTAACTGGCGGACACTCTGGCTTCAATGGCAAACGATGCTCGACAATGTTTGTATCTAGACCAGGCATATCTTGATAAGACCAAGCAAAAATATCCACATACTCTTTCAACAGCTCAATCAACCCGCTCTTTACATCAGGATGCAATGATACTCCAATATTGACTTCCTTCAGATCTTCTTCTGAACCTAAATTAATCACTTCCAAAGGCTCATTATATGTCTGGATGGTATTTTCCTCGTGCTCAAGCAACCGTGAGACCTCTTCTGGAATCTTATCATAATCTTCTTCTTCAGCCCCAAATACAAGACAATCAAAGTTGGGAGAGGGTGCAGGGTCATTGTATTCTACGGTTTGGTTGAAATTCTGGTTGCCGCCCAAGTCAATCCTTCTAGGAGGGAGGAAGCGATGATAAAAGTCTTCACTGAAACTCTAAAATCATTCTCTCACGAGAAGGTGATGGTCAATGCACCTAATGACTTTCCTGACAAGGTGAATGTGGGAGTGCGTCTAGAAGAAGATGTCGGAAAAGGATGTTTATATGAAGATGGTAGCTCAGCTAATGGTGTGAAGAAGTTTGATAATAACTTTTCCAAGAAGAGAAGCAGAGGAAGAAATAATCATTATCAGAATCATCATGTTTCTCCTATTCATCAACAGAATCAGCAAGTTCCTAATCAGAGGAAAACCCAGTTTGATCTAATTCCAATTACCTATACAGAGTTGTTCCCTATCCTGGTGCAGAGGAATTTGGTTCAGACCCGACCTCCACCGAAGGTTCCTGAGAAGGTACATTGGTACTACAAAGCTGATTTGACATGTACCTTTCATCAAGGTGCTCCTGGGCATGACTTGGAGGGTTGCTTTGCTTTGAAGATCGAGGTTCAGAAGTTGGTCAGAAGTGGTATCTTGTCATTCAAGGATGTTGGTTTTGAAGTTCAAATCAAGCATGTGCCGAAGAGTAAACATGATTGATGGTCACTTTGAGTTTTGAAGGATGTTTTCGGTGATTCAAGTCCAGATGGAAAGCCTTCCCCGATTATTAACTCATTTATGCTTTTGTAAATTTTCTTGTTTATCAAAAAATTGTTTGCATGTAAGAACTTATTTACATTTGAATGATTATTTTAATACAATGAGTATGTTTGTCTTGAAGAAATTCATTCGTTTCACTCATATTTGTTTTCAAATTTTAAATTGCTTTTTGCATTATGATACTAACTTGTTGCCCAGTCTCTTTCCTAGGCAGAGATTGAAGGGAGGATGATGATCTAAAGAACACAAAATCTCTGGTTGTTTGCTTTTGGATAAAATCTTGCTGATGATGTACAGGCATTGTTTCAAATCCCTAAACACCGGAGATATAAGGAAGATAATCCCTTGCTAACCCCTTTTGAGCCTTTGAAGCAGAAGTTTCTTTTCTATACGAAAAAACCTTGAATTTTAACCTGGGGCAGGGTAGTTTTTAGTTAATCTGACTGAGTGTTCAAAATTCATAAGGAAGATGTTTTTTTGAAGAGAAACTACGAGGGCTATCCTTCATGTATAATGAATCTAGAGGATGTGGAACCACAATGTTATCCCTCATTCATCAAGAAACGAGGCAATCACAATCCTCTCAACAAGCAAAGACAAGCTAATGTCACACATTTTGTTCAAAAAGTGAAAAATCAAGAAAAATAAAAGCCTGCTAAGTAAAAAAAAACATGAAAACGTGTAATTTAGGCAAAATTAAGGCATCCCGCTGGACTATCAATTCAAAAATTAGTTCAGGCAAAAATTAGGGAAAATAAAATTGCAAGGAAAGGAATACAAAGAAAATTCCTCAACAAAGAACAAATTGGTGACTA